AGGCAAGAGTTAGTTGAAAGGGGCAGCTCTAATATGAAAGGTTATAAGAAGATGGTTTGTGTATAGATGTTGTCTTTGAAGTGCAAACAGGGATCTGTCCTTATGAAAAAGCACTCAATATATGTTATATTTCATTCTTAAGGCGTTCATAAGCATTCTTAAAGCTCCAAAGAGAAAGATACTTGAAAGATACTTGATCTGCTATGGAGGATGAAACTTTCTAAAAAAAAAAAGAAAAAAAGAAAGAAAGAAAACATAACTGTAGGGAGTGCAGCAAAGAGTATGCTGCAAGCAGTCAAGAATGGCTGCAATCAAATGATGAAAAATGAAACAATCGACTAAACAGACCAAGACTAAGCTCCACAGACAGCCCAGTCAGAATATCAAACACCCAGCACAGATCATCCACAAGTGGTTCTACTGCAGAGACCAATACACTTATTCTTGATTTCATTTGCTCTCTGACATTGCAAACAAATACAAAGTGAAAACTTTCCCTAAAATGATTTAAATGATTTATATATATATATATATATATATTTAGGGAAATCTTTCAGTTAAATGATTAAAAATATATATATTTTAACCAAATTGCTCTATAGATCCCTGGGGGTGGCTGAGCTGGAAATAAAGACCCCCGTTTATGCTGCCCATACACTGTATTCTAATGGATCAGGATTTTCTGCTCCTCCCTCCATTGCCTTGGCTACCATCCTGCATGGTTGCATCCCTCTAACATCCTTTTCTGGCTGTTTACCATCTTCTTTGGGGATGGAAACTGCAAATACAGATTACAAATCATTACAGATCATTATTTGCTGATGTCTTTTTGCTCCCAGAGGTCATATTTCAACTCAAAAAGATGTCTGTGTGGCTTTCCTTTGTAAGAGGTGCTATTGTCGATCAAAGCAATAAACTACTCAGAGTGTGTCCTGGAGTCTGCCAGTGTTTCTGGTGCTACTGACTGTCTAACGGGGGTAGCATTTGTGCTTATTTTGCACATAAAACCTTCTATAAAATAGAAAAGTGAATTTTATTTAGGTATATTTAGGAAGTTAATTGCAAACTGAAGGAAAACTTTTCTATAAAACATGGTAAATGTATCTCTAAATTTACCAGTGCTAGATAAGGAGATACATTTTATTGTCTATATTTCTATCTGCCAGTCAGGAAAGTTTTGGCTCCAAGAAGGACAGGAACTGTGCTTCTTTATGAAGAAATCACGTGTATGAAAGACATTAGAGAAGATAAATAAAAGCAAACAAGCAAGCCCTACAATGCAACTGCTATGAGATTGCCAAGGCAAACACTACTAAAATTTGACTATTTTTCTTTTATGAGGACTTCAAAGAAGTTTGTTTTCATGAATCATCCTTGGTGTTTTGCCCGTACAAAGATGAGAGAGTCTTCACTAGGCCTTTCAGCCCAGCTGCTTTGAAGCACTTGGACTGGACCTTGTTTTCCTGGGAGCTCTGAGGAAGCGAGGTGTGCCGCAGAGGAGGCAGAGCTGAAGATACGTAACATGTCCTTAAAGACAACAGCCAGTCTTGAAACTTGGAAAGTCCTGGTTAGGCAAAGGTGTCTTTTATTAAATACGCCAAAGAAAGTTCATTACAGTCCAAGCTTCGTCCAAGCAACGAGGATGTGGCCTGGCTCACCATGGGCTGATTACACCAGCAAAACAGTTTCCCTCTTACCAAATGAGAGAAATGCCCGGAATAATGAGACCTTTTCACTAAATATAATTGAATGAAAATTGTACATAACTGTGTATTTTCAAATCTCCTTAGCTTTTGCCAGCAAACAACTTTATGGTGGGCTAGAGACAGACTTTTCAAAATGTTACTTAGAATAATTAACAATAAAGCCAAAGACATGGTCTGCTTCTGTATGATAAACTATAAAGAAAATAGCATTCAATGCAATGTTCTGCGTTGCCATAACATTGATTTTCTGGACCGGTGTAAAGCCAATGGATCTAAAGGACAAAGATAAATAGAAAGGGTTTTCAAGTTTTCTATCATACTTAGGCTGTTCCTCTATGAGTAAACTCATATGCTTACCTCAGGAAAGCTGCCAGAAATCACTAGTTTCCTGGATATTTTTGTAACTTGTGCTAATCACCCTTTTCAGCAAAGGCTAAAGCTGCAGAGGAAGTTTGATTAAAATATCGATTGTAGTTGTATGAGCCAAAGAAAGCCTATCTGTACAAAGAAGCTTGTTTTATCATGCTCAGTATTCGGTAGTCATTTTCCGTGCCCAGTCCCAAATGGCAGATGTATTTAGATTCTTAATTAGGTAATTATGACAACTCTGTAAAAGGAAACCATCTACCTTAAACACAATATTGTGCCATTTTGGATTTTAGCTTTTATCGATTTTGGCATTTCATTTTGATTATAATGATGATGATCTCCAGCTACAATCTGTCTTTTCATATTAAACATTTCAAAATGTTTTTGCTGAAGCACTCAGTTTGTCCAATATTGCATCTTCTTGAAGACTTCAGATTTGAAATGGTGTATTCGAGTCAAAGAAATTAAGAAATAAGAGCAAGTAAAAGAGTGAAGACCTCCTCAGCTCTACTCGTCATGCCTATACTGCAGTACAGTATATAGTTACTTATATATTTAGTGGATATATATAGTGTATGTATATGTGTATACATATATGCATATATATAGTATAGTTATGTAGTATATAGAAACAGCTGGGTTTTGTTTGCTAATTATCATTCTTGCATTTAAAACTCACTCAGATATGCTAGTCAATGAGGAATAAATTGCCTTAGCTTTGCAAATAGAGCACGGATTTGCCCCAGCCTCAATCGTGGGCTTCTCTTAAAGTCATGACTGTCCAACTAACAAAATGGGTCACTTCTTCTGCAGCACAGAAGCAGTGTCACCTGCCCTAGCCGAATCTCACGCATGAAAATGGCATCAGCTTTCTGTTTATAACCACATTTCTCTTGCTTTTTTTTTTCATCCTCTCCCTGCAGATAGGCATGGTTTTCTTTCGTTGTCTTCTGTGCAATGCCAGCCCTTTCACATTCCAGTTCATTTTGGCAGTCAGAATTCTTCTACATTTCTTCTTTTAGTTGATTCCTTCTACGCAGCCTTAAATCATATACTTAGGAAAAACTTAGTTCTTGTGCTGATTTTTCTGTGTGGTTTAAATAGTAGATGTAATATAGTTAGAGGCCAGAGTTACTAACAGGGCCAAGTGCTCCCTGAATTCTAGTTTTACTCTTCAAAACAGAGAGTGGTCTGAGTCTGCAGCTTCCGTCATAGCAGTCCCAGCCACAGGGTGAATGGGACAGACTGTCCAAGTTGAGGCACATTTCACTCATTTCTGAAGTTGCTAACCCATTAAAACAAAAGAAACAAACAAGCAAAATCTTTATTTATTAAAAAATGTTCTGTAGATCCTCTCTCTGGGATGTTCAGACATGCTTAAGTTATCTGGGGTACAAATATGATTCCTGCTTCAGCAAAACACTGCAGTGATGACACAGCCTTTAGGAAACATCCGTTGTTGTGAGAGTTTAATCTAACAGGCAGAGGGTTGAGCCTTAATAGGAAGAGCTAAAATCCTGAAAATAACAGCAGAATTAATCTCTGCTTATCACATCTTAGCTCAAGGATTTTGCCTCATGCACTCAAGGACTTGCTATAATTAAAGCTAAATTAAGAAACAGATGAAATAGACTTCACTAAATAATGTCAAAGAGCTTGTAATAGGGAGTATTTCCTCTTGAATTAAGATACATCTAATTACTGCTCTTCTGAATGTTATCCTGTGCTACCTCCTCTCCCTCAAAGTCCCATTAGTCTGTAGACACTTCCTAGATGCAGTAACACATTATTGATGTGTCAAGACCCATGTGGTAATGACTTATTTTCATCCCAAAAAAATGACAACAGCTGATAATTAGACAATAAAAAATCAAACTCTTCATACTTGGATTTCATTAGATATTACATAGGCAATCCAAATTCCATCTGAAAAAACATTTGAAGGTCTTGACAGACCACTGGTGTATGCTAAAATCAGTTAAGTCTAAATCTGTACTTAATCTTTAGACAAATTACATGTTTAAATGTACTGTTTTCTATGCTGACCAAGAAAATGAGGTAAAAATTCTTTTTTTTTTTTTTTTTTTTTTTTGTGTGTGTGTGTGTGTTTGTGGTTGTGCACACGAAAGTGACTTCCTATTGCACTGAAATATGAAAGCCAAACATGGTTTTGTTCAGTACTTACACAGCAAGCATAGAATTTTTTGAAAAAAGAGACATTTTATGAAAAAGTGAGACTGAAAACACTGCAAACCAGTGCAGGGTGTTGATTAGCACTCTTAACTAGCCAGGAGAACCAGGTCAAATCGCTGCTGTTACTAAACTACATGTATGAGTCTCACCCTTGCACAGAGGAGGCAGGGAGCAGAGGTAGGAAAGGAATGAGAAGGAATAGGGAAATGAATAGGGAAATGAATTCCCTAGACAGCTGAAAAAATTTCCATTGAACCAACATATTCCTTCAATAAATAAAACCCTGGGGTTTTCTCTGGCCCTAGCAGTTGCAGAAGGTCCCCAATGCTCATGAGGAGGCAGGGAGCAGGGAGAGGCAGAGTGGGGCAGGCTGAGGACAAGCAAGAGTGAATGGGATCAGGAGAAAGGCAGGATCATACTAACGTGTCTTTGACAGACATTTACCAAGTCCAAACTAATTTTGTTTGAAAGATGGGAAGGATGGAAAATAACAGTTATTAGAATTACTAGATTATTAGTTATTAGAATAGAAGAATATAATAGAATAGAAGTAGAAATAAAATAAGTAGAAGGGTAGAATGTAAGAAGATTTAACATCATATTCTTTATGTGTCTTGATCAGAATATGTTTCTACATTTAGATTAATCTGAGGAGATTTTTTTTAATAGCTTTCTCCTTTATAACATGAACAAAAAGCACAAAGGAAACTAAGGTAATTTCCATTTGTTCAGTGTTCCAGATGATGGCAAATTATCCTTCGATGAATTTGAGGCTTACTTAGCTGATGGAGTTCTGAGTGGAGAAGAACTCCATGAACTTTTTCATGCCATCAATACGCACAAGACTGAGTAAGTGTCCCCTTTTACAACCGAAGTGCTACATACACCCTTTAGCTGAGCAGGCAAACGAGGCAATGGTCTGTTTTTAGAAAACAAGTTTAAGAAGGCATCTGCTTCAAGGAACTTAAACTGTGCCATGCTGTATGATTGCAGGGCTTCTAAACCTTGTGTGCATGTCCTGTTGAATGGGATTTAGGCATTGGGAACATTATGCTAAGGACAAGTAGCTATTGCCCTACTCCAGCTCTTAAATACGAGCTCCTCCTCTCGACTCTTCTTCACTGACCAGGTGTTAAGCAGGAAAAAATAGCTGAAGCTACCACAGAGAGCAAAGAACAGAAAGTCACCTGTCCCCATGCTGTCAAGGGAACTGAGGTGGTGTTGACACTTAGGCATGTCCCCGTCACGGTGGGGTGTAAGGAACTGAGGTGGTGTTGACACTTAGGCAGTTTGGATGTCCCCGTCACGGTGGGGTGTAATGAGGCCACAGGATGTTGGTGCTAAAGTTCTCATTGTTTTTTAGTAGAGCCAAATTTGTGCCACTGCCTCCTCTCCTTAAGCTGTACTTCTCCTTATCAGCAGTGACCGAAGATAATGAATTTCCTTTTATTTGCTTTCTATCCATCAACAATTAGTCACAGCAGTTCTGACACTTACTATTAATTAGGGAACTCTTACTAATCCACTGCCTTTTAAACTGGGCCATTTCCATGCTATAAAAACTCCCAAGGAGATGTCATTTATTGCCTTTGCTAAGACGCTATGAAGATATCGTGTAGCAATTATGGTCTGGATTGTGGTTCCATTTTAAAGCAGTGAATATGCTGTAAATCAGTGTTGTTTTTCTCAGATGCATACAGTGGAGAAATGTATGTTAAAATGCTATTACAGCCCTGCTTCCTATGTTCGCTATGCAGAAAAGCTAAGAGTAGGTTAACAGGATGTGGCTTTATTTTATCCAGTGCCAGCTTCCTGCATCCTAGTTTCTTCCTTCTTCCACAGGGAAATAAAACCAGCACCTTGATATTGCGACTGAAAAGCATTCTACACCTGACATATGTCAGATGGATATAGCAAAGAGAGACAACTTGGGCAGTATAATATAAATTATTTGCTTTCCAGCAAAGATCATGTGAAGCAGATATAATAAGCAGGCCAAAACTTGACTCACTGGCATTTGCTGAAAAGGGCAGGTTGTGTAAAAGGTCTGCAGTTAACTAGCTGACTAAGAAATGGAGCAAAACAAAACATTCAGTCAACCTGGGAAGTTTTATAATGTAAGTGTTAGAAGAATCTTGCGCATCTCCTAAACGCTTACTTGCAAAGAATCCTAAAATCATATATTTTATGATGCTTTCACTTACAAATTACCCAAGGCAATGAAATGAAAATTTCAAGTGCAGGGTTCTGCACCTGAGGAGGAATAACCCCAGGCACCAGTACAGATTACGGGTTGACCTGCTGGAAAGCAGCTCCGCGGAGAGGGATTTGGGAGTCCTGGTTGACACCAAGTTGACCATGAGTCAGCAATGTGCCCTCGTGGCCAAGAAGGCCAATGGGATCCTGGCCTGCATGAGGAGGAGCGTTGCCAGCAGGTCGAGGGAGGGGATCCTGCCCCTCTGCTCAGCTCTGGTGAGGCCGCACCTGGAGTATTGGGGGCAGTTCTGGGCTCCCCAGGACAAGAGGGACATGGAGCTTCTAGAGAGGGTCCAGCAGAGAGCCGCAAAGATGATTAAAGGACTGGAGCATCTGTCATATGAGGAAAGACTGAGCGAGCTGGACCTGTTTAGCCTGGAGAAGAGAAGACTGAGAGGAGACTGGATCAACACGTTCAAGTACCTGAGGGGTGACTGTACGGAGGATGGGGCCAAACTCTTCTCTGTGTGGCCGGTGGCAGGACAAGGGGTGATGGGTGTAAGCTGAAACATAGGAAGTTTAAGGGGTTGGACTGGATGATCTCTAGAGGTCCCTTCCAACCTTCAGCATTCTGTGATTCTGTGAAAATCCTAGTTTGTGCCTGCAATTCCCAAGTAATTTATGACTGTTTTATTTTAGGGAAGGATAAGAGATTCTGCTTAATTGGGTGTCTAGCAGGAGGAAATTTGCACAGGTTATTCCGCCTGTTATATCTGGTTAAATACAGGCTCTGATAAACTGTAGGCCAAATCCTGAAGCTGCTCTGTGCGTCAGACCCCTGCTTGCAAAGTGCAGACTGTGGTTCCCTATCTCGCAGACGTGCTGTAAGCACTGAGATTAGGCAGCATCCAGACACGGCAGCAATTCACCCTCCGTGTGAATGCCTCGGGTTGCTCGCTGAGGACTAAGTATGCCATGATGAGCCTCATCACCTCTGGAGGATCTCCAGCTTTCATAGCCAGTTTGTCACAAGAGCAGACTTTTGGGTTGTTCCCACTTGCTTTAAATATTTTAACTCTGCCAGCTTTGCATGTGTGTGAGTCTTTGTACTTCAAAGCCAGGAAGATAAAAAGAGTGGTGGCCTCAGGTGATCTCTGTGGACCACAGGCTTGGGAAATCTGTGTTCCATTCCCGGCTGTGCTACAGCAAGCTTGCAAAAAAGGATTTGAAGCATAAAAGTCTGGCCCTGGCTTCATACATTTCAGTGAGCCAAATTAACCAGGTATTAAAAAATACCCCTGTTACTCAGGTCATAATGTCAGTCTTGTGAAAGAAGAGAATTAGCAGATTTTTAACTTTACAAAGATCAAGCCAAGTCCATTTTATATATCTGCTACAAAGCATACAGGCTACGGCAGACTGCTAAAATGAGTAATCACCTTTTTCAATGTGACAGCAAGGCAAATAATAGGGAATTTAACTTTCCAGTAGTTGAGGTCTTTCCTGCCTAGTTGACTGTGATTTCTGCACCTGCTGCCCTGGTGCAGATCTGATCTTCTCAAACGCACAGGGAGAGGCAGTTGCTACTGCAGTGACAGTAATTACCAGGATAAAAGTTGTGTAGGAATTAGATACCCCTGCACATTGCTTCCAAACCATCAGGTGGAATTGGAAGTCGTGATGGTGGGAAAAACTGATGGATTCTTGCTCAAATACTGAAAAAGGATGAACTTTTAGATTTTATGACTCATCTAGACCCCAAAATTCAGATCATTAAATCAGAGCAGATCATTGCTTTTATTGGCAATTTATATTAGTTAAAGATCTTTCTTTGGAACCTCATTTGGACATATATCTTTTAGTTTATGAGTATGTTTGTATATAGACTGGCTTTTTTTTTTTTCTCTCTCTCACATAAAATGAACATTACATTTTTGTATTTTTTTAATTTCATAAATTCCAGTGGAACACACTATACAAGATAATTACTTGATGGCTTTATCTTGATGGTTTTATCTTCTGTTACTTCTTTTTTTCTGATTGAACCAGAAACAAATATGTAAGCAAATATATACCAACTACAAAGATTAAGGTGGAATAGTATGTACATTTAAAGAAAGAGTGATTTCTTCACCACATTTTAGCATTACTACATTTTTTCCAGTGTTTTGCAATATGTAAGTATTATACTGTTAAAAGCTGAGGATTAAAAAGATAAATTGCAATCCATTTGGACTATAGAAGAGTCTACTATCTTCTGAACCATAACACTTTATAGTAAGTAGTTTGTAGGCCAGTACTAGCTGTGCAGAATTACATGGAAATTCCCACCACAGGCAAATTAATTTATATTTTTTTGCAGCAGTCTAACATAGTTTTTTTCAAAAAAAGTCCTAGGACCATGGAGAGACTGAACCAGTGGGTCTCTGCCATGACCAAGCAAATCTCAGTCTCCCTTTGGTAATCAAGTCAAGAGAGAGAATAAGGATAGTTGTTATATGTAAATTTAATTTGAACAGTCCAGTAAAACAGGCAACTTCAGATTATTCATATTACTGGGTTTCAAAGGAATTTAAAGGTGCATAGACAGCAGACTGTGTTGATCAGGCCGTTTACTAGCCTACCTGACAGGCAATTAGCCTGAGGGACCTGCTTTGAGGTGCAGCAGTAACGATTCCTCTCTCTTAAATGCTGCTTCCAGTGCTGGGGTTAGTTCAGGCTAGAGCTGAAAGCCACTTAGACATTTGACTTACATTTTAAGTCATTTCTATTTGTGCCTTCCATGATCTCGTGAAATTATAGGGCATTTCCTATTCAATCACTGATAAGTAGATAATATGAAGAAGTTAAGGAGGGTCCCCACAGCGGTGCTCGTGCGTCACCACTGCACTAAGAGCTTTATTTCCACGCGGCAGGGATGAACTCGAAGCTGCTCCGGCTTGGGAAGCTGCAGAGCCAGCAGCTCCTGCTGCCCCAACAACAACTCTGTCCAACAAGCAGGACAGAGTGCTACGGGTGTACGTAGCTACAGCTGTACGTAGCTAGGGGTGTGTGTAGCTATGAGTGTACATAGCCACGGATGTGTGTAGCTATGCGTGTACATAGCTACAGGTGTACATAGCTACGGATGTGTGTAGCTATGGGTGTACATGGCTACGTGTGTATGTAGGTACAGTAGTGTGTAGCTATGGGTGTATGTAGCTACAGGTGTACGTAGCTACGGGTGTACATAGCTACGGGTGTGTGTAGCTAGGGGGGTACATAGCTACAGGTGTATGTAGCTACGGGTGTGTTTAGCTATGCGTGTACATAGCTACGGGTGTGTGTAGCTAGGGGGGTACATAGCTACAGGTGTATGTAGCTACGGGTGTGTTTAGCTATGCGTGTACATAGCTACGGGTGTGTGTAGCTAGGGGGGTACATAGCTACAGGTGTATGTAGCTACGGGTGTGTTTAGCTATGCGTGTACATAGCTACGGGTGTACATAGCTACGGGTGTATGTAGCTACAGGTGTACGTAGCTACGGGTGTACATAGCTATGGGTGTACATAGCTACGGGTGTACATAGCTACGGGTGTGTGCAGCTATGGGGGTACCTAACCTCCCTAATGTAGCATTTACATCAACTACAGAGCACACGTGAGACCAGCAT